ATAAATTAAATTAACAGTTAATAAAGGAATCTTATGCAGAATTAAAAATAAATTTAAAAAAAATAACTATAAATACAAGCAAAATAATTATTACGGTTAAATACATTTTAATATTAGAATTAATGTATAACAATTTTTAAGGAGTCAAAAGTGTTTCACTATGATGTATATGAAATATAATTGAAATAAAATTCCCTTATAGAAATTGTGCTACATACTCATCTATAATTTTAAAAAAGCAGCACACATTTAGAATTTTAAAAAAAATTTCGAAAATTCGTTTTAAATATTTTAGTATTTTTTACTTATTTACACCAATAAAAAGCATAAAAGTTGCAAGAGAAATGCTTGTTTGAAATTTTATTAGTTCAGTTTAAAATATTTTTTCTAAAAGAAGTGTTACAACATAGGAAAAGCTAAATAAAAATATCCAGTCCTGAAAGCATTCAAGCTTATAATTATTTGGATGTTATTTATGCTTGATAATTGCTAATTTTTAAAAACATCTCAGTTTCAAAATAAAAATATGTAGAAATTTTAATTTGTGAAGTGAGGCGCTACAACCAGCTTCTTCTTGATAATTATACACGCTGCAATAGGCAACCACTGTTAAATTTCTGCAAGTCGTCCCTACTCCTCCGGATGTGATCAAGGTGACAGCTGGCAACCCCTCAGAGGAGAGAGAAAACCCATTTGGGTTAGTCTATTTCTTATAAGGTCCATGCTACGCCCTAAAGGAAAGGTTTCTCCTTTTGCAATCCCAAATCAAAAAGCGGTGGAAGGGGAAATTAATTGTAACTATTTATTATAAAGTACTTATTTTATATATTAATTTGTTTCTGTATAATTCGCATTATGATCGAATAATCAATAGACATGTTTTCTAAGTATAAATCAAAGAAGTAACTAGGCAGGATTCTGGACTCTGGAATGAACTTTGCAAGTTAAGAGGAAACGTGGTATATTATTTGCAGTTCGAAATTTTCATATATCATTCCGAAGCGTCTAATTTTGTTCATATACTGAATCTCTTACTAGCTTTTCCATTAAACGCAAGTCCAAAAATCAGTCCTAATATTCAATTTGAAATTGAATTTATTAATGTGAATGATTCTTACAATTTAATACAACATGTATTGCGTTGGTTTGCTATAAACGGTGTATCACTTTTCAAATTGTTGCCACTAAATAATTTCACCCTGTATTATTTTTAAAGAAATTAATTAAGGAAGAAATCTGTATGTTTGAATGTATAGTTCTCACAACGTATAAAACGATGGTACTTGCAACCTGTGCAGTCGCAACAAGAGGCAAGGTAAGGGACAGGAACATTTTGGATTTGGAAGCACAATTCACATTACAAAATGGCAAAGCTAAAGGCGGATCGATTTTTTTCTCTGTTTTTTACACTAATAAGCTGGAGGGGAGAATCATTCGTAAGTATTAATTGCTAACTCCAGAATACAGGTTTTTCTTTCTTAAGGACACAAAATCATTGACGTAAGTTGAGCAGTTGTGGCATGAAAGGACTTTGCCCCACCCCCATGTCGAATACCATTCTAGCAGTGGCGTAAATAAGGGTATGCAGGAATGCCGTTGCATAGGGGCCCGAAGGTTTAGGGGGCCCTTAAATGTCCTGCTGAACTACATTTACATGTTTAAACTTAAAAGTATTTTTTTTGTATTTTTTTCCCTTTCGCTTTTAATTTTTATTTTTAGAGTTTGTACTACTATGAATTCTTATTATAATATAATAGAATTCGTCTTCTTTAAGTTTTTGAGAGCCTTCTTCCTATATGGTGCAGTGACGCAGTTCCGTATAAGACGCAGTTCCGTATAAGACGCAGAAAAGGGGCCCTTGGAAGCACATGAAACAGTTAAATTCAGTGTTTGCAAAAGTTAATATTCCATCATTCGACTATCAAATAGTAACTTCGTGACCTACCTCAGTTCAGACATAGGAGTCAGCAGAAAATAGGAAGAGTTCCTTTGTATTTCTTAAGTTTCTTACCAGAAAATTTTTAAAGGCGACCCCCTGAAGGAAAGATTTCTCCCTTCGCAATCATAATTCAACAGGAGATAGAAGTGAAAATTAATTGTAACTATTTATTATAATGTAATTATTTGTATATTAATTTATTCTATATACTTTGTTATTATGATCGAATAATTAATAGACACATTTTTAAGTATAAATAAAGAAGTAACTAAACAGGATTCTGGTACTTAATTCGAATGACTTTGCAAATTAAGAGGAAACGTGGTTATTATTTGCAGTTTGAAATTTTTATAATATGTCATTCCGAAGCATTTAATTTTGTTCATATATTGAACTTACTAGCACTTCCATTAACCCAAGTCCAAAAATCAGGAATAATATTAAGCTTAAATTGAATTTATAATGTGAATGATTTTTACAATTTAATATACATGTATTGCGCGGTTCACTATAACGGCGTATCACTTTTCAAATTGTTACCACTAAATATTATTGTCCTGTATCATATCTAAAGAAATTAAAATGAAGAATCTGCATAAATGTATGTATGTTTCTCGCACTATGACGAAACAACGTTACCTAGAATGTTTGAATGTATGGTTCTCACAATGTAAAAAACGACGGTGCAGTTATACATTAAGCGCGCATTCGTAAACGTATTTTGCGCACACAAATTCGCAGCGGTAAAGGTCTTACGTGCATGCGTCGCAGAAAGTTTGTAGCTTTGAGGTCCGGATTATGGGTGTCCAAATTAGCGACTTTTGACTGTATCTGTATTGCACACATGATCTTGCGGATACGTTTTGTATTCTGCTGAACGGATGACTTAAGTTCATACTTACGGATTCATTCATAAGTTCATACTTATACGGATGAAGAAAAGATTTTTTCTTCCTTTTGATAAGAATAAGCCACATGTTTATACTATAGGTGCTTTATACTTTAAGTGCTTATACTATAAACACACCAATTTTCTGCTGGAATCAATTCCTTTAAAATTGAATTTTGATGACTATTAAAATTCAAACAAGCATACATATTTTATTTATTTATTTATTGAGAAATTTTCTGCATTTGTGAAAAATTAAAAATAATGAGCCTACAGGAAAACAATAATGTATCACGTTTTATTACATAGTATTTCTGAAACACAAACTATTAGTGAGAAAATGATAACCTGTAACTATTTATCAATACATATGAGATGAGCTAATGCATAAAAATTGCTTTTTTCCCCTCACTTTTCTACAAAAGACTTCATTCCTTGCAAGAACCTAATGTAAAGTTGATGTTCATAAGATGTAAAAAAAGCTATCATTTTATCTGCAAACTCATTGGAAATTCCTCTTTCTTCCAAGTAATTCATCAGCAAATCATACAGATACTGTAAATAAAATTAGAGAAACATATTTTAATGCTAAAACATTCCACAAATGTCCATTAATTAATCAAAATTGAATACTAAGTTCATAACTTAGGTACACATTTATACAAGTACAGTTAAAAGACTTTAATCCGGACTCGTCAGGACTTTGGCGATTCCGGATTATAGATCATCGGTTTAAATCTGGTAAGATGGCATGCAGAAATTAAAAATATGAAACCGTAATTTATGAAATAAAGAGCAATTATGATCTAAAGGGTATCAAAATTTACAAAAAAAAAAAAAAAAAAAAAAAAAAAGCTTAATACTTATTTGTTTATTTTATTAAACATTTCTTTCAACGCGCGCATGCCTAAAGCATACATTACGCATAGTCGAAATTAGAAAATTGCAATCAGAAAACTATTTGATGCGTATTCGTGATATTTATAATGATGAACGTCGGGACTTCGGCGATTCCGGATTTTAAATAATTTGTTTAAAATCACATCGGAGTACATCGAGACGAAATACTACATTTAGTAAGGAATTATAAGCCAAACAAAATAAAAACACCTGCCCTGAAGATAAGGATAGTGCTGACAGATCAACTTCCAGTTCATTGAGTGCTGCGACGCCCCCCCCCACAGAGCAGCGTGAAATTGATAAACAGATTTCGGAATGGTTAGAGAAACAAAGGATATGCCTTTATCCATTTTTTGCAGCATTTCTACTTTTTGTTTGATGGACATCGAAACATACTTTCGCTTTGTAGATCCTTTACATATTAGTAAATATATATCGGAAATTCTATTTGACATAATCGAAAGTTCAAGCTTACTTTTATAAAATTGCTCTAACAGTCTGCAAAAAAAAAAATAGCCGGATCCAATTCGAAGATTAAGGAACAACGCAATCTGCAACATTAACTGAAATAGATAATTTTAGCTTAGCTTATACCGTCCGTTATACATTAAACGCGCATGCGTAAATGCTGCGCAGAAAGTTTGTAGCTTTGAAGTCCGGATTATAGATGTTCGAATTAAAGACTTTTGACTGTATATGCTATATACATACATATATCTCGTGACAAACTTGCGTATGTATGTGTATATCTATATCAAACCAGATAATAATTAAATCAAAAACAGGTGATCCTTAATCTACCAGGAAGAACATAAATTGAAATTGAAACAAAAACAACTCAACAACTTAGCATGTGTATATATGTTAGGTCACCTGGAAAGTTCTGAACGGTGTGAAACTAAAGTGCATTTTCTTTTCATTATTATGCTACTTAGCAGCTTCACTGCCAGCCTTCACCTGGCTTTTAAATGTACTGGGAAAATGGCTGAAGGGAACACTAAACATTAAATTTAAAAACTGCGTAGAATTTTACTCTGCAAAACAACTTCATATAAAAGTTATTATGTATAACAAAATTACAATGAAATAAGCAATATCCCTTAATACAAATATTAATTATCCTAATAAATAAATTAACCAACTTCCCTTTGCAAAATCTTAAGAACTCAAATGGTATAAAGGAGGTAAAGAACTTTGTTTCCTAAAAAAATCATTCAAAACTTTTAAAAACAGTGAAATGAGCAATAAATAGCATAACAGACTACAAAAACAAAAAATTCTGAAAAGCAAAGTATAATTAATGATATTTTATTGTATATTTTCAAGAGAAAAAATTACAATGAAATAAGCTGTATCCCTTAATACAAATATTAATTATCCTAATAAAAAATTAACCAACTTTCCATTGAAGGGAAAAAAATCATATAAACTTTTCAATATCTTACAAACAGTGAAATAAGCAAAAAATAACATGAAAGCAACTCAAAAAACATAAAATTCCACGCAGAATTTTACTCCGCAGAACAACTTTATAAAAAAAAAAAGTATTATATATATAAATGACAATGAAATATGCCAATCTCTTGCACGCACGCACACACAGAGAGAGACTTTCTTTTATTATATGTAGAGACTGCTCATAAAGAGTGATTCTGGATTGGAGTGGATATATGGTTTTTTCTGCTCATTCTGCTTATTTCTACATGCATACTGTTGTGTAATTTTTCGTCCAATATACTGCTAAGAATGAAGAACCAAGAAGAGCATTTTCACCAAAATTTGGGCTAATATAGACAAAGTGCTATTTTTGATGATACAGTTTGAAGGTGGTTATGATAAGCATGAGAATTTTAGCTTTGAAAATGGTATTCAATCTGGATGACCATCGAGTGTAAACAAGAACCTGTTAAAAGCAGCTATTGTTGGAAATCTACCTTATACAGTTCCCAAAATATCAAATAGTCTAATTATTCCAAAAAGTACAGTATGTGATCAGTTGAAGATTTTTGTATGTAAGCTGCTATGATGTATAGTTATTCCATACTTTAACAGATCAGAATATAATTCCTCAAGTTTTGGCATGTGATTCTTTGGTTGGGAAAAAATAAAGAAGTTCCTTTTCTGAAATGACTTATTACTAGACACAAGAAGTAGATACAATACAATGTTACAAGAAAAAGATCTTTGGATAAGCCAGGAGAACCTTCTTTAGTATCATTGAGAAGGGGTTGCATCCCCAAAAAGTAATGCTTTGTGTATGATCTGACTATAAAGGGACTGCAAACTAAAAACTGTTGCTACAAAATTAGGCAATAAATTTGGAAAATATTCTTCCCAAATGGCAACTTTAAAAGCAAAGTGCTTAGAAGTGACCTATTTTTGAGGTGCTCTCATCTGACATGACAATGATCCACCCCACTTTTTGATGAATTTCAGACAAAAACTTATATACAATGTACGTCCAGAAAGTAAGTTCCGTTTGGTAATAAAAGTAAATTGTGTACAGCTACAGAAAAGTTATTTATTGCACAAAATTCAACAACTCTTAAACTACTTTTCCACATAACTGACAAAATATTGCAGGCATTTGTCATAGAGTGGCACAAGTTTTTGTATACCTTCTTCATAGAAATTTGTCGCCTGTGTCTTCAACCAGTTGGAAACAGTTTCTTTCAGCTCGTCGTCATTGTTGAAGTGTTGACCGCCAAGGAATGACTTAAGATGTAAGAACAGATGAAAATCGCTAGGAGCGAGGTCAGGGCTGTACGGAGGATGGTCAAACATGTCCAAGCCAAATCCCTGTAGGAGGTTTTTCGTCACATTTGCAGTGTGTGGTCGTGCGTTGTCGTGAAGAAAAACAACACCTTTTGACAGCAATCCTCGGCGCTTATTCTGTATTGCGCGGCTCAATTTCCGAAGTGTCTCGCAATAAGCATCTGCTCTGATTGTTTGACCACGCGGTAAGAAATCAATGAGTAAGATGCCTTTCCAGTCCCAGAACACTGTGCAGATCATTTTTTGAGGTGTCAAGATTTGCTTCGGCTTAACCTTGCTGGGGATGAAGTGTGCCTCCATTCCATTGATTGGCCGCTACTTTCAGGGGGTTGTAAAAAACCCAAGTTTCTCTCCTGTGACTATCCGTGTCAGAAATTCTTCACCGCTTTCAGCATAACGGGTCAAAACTGAAGTGCACTCACCCATCCGTTTTGTTTTTGTTGCTCAGTAAGAATCTTTGGTACCCAACGTGAGCAAAGTTTACGAAAATTTCAGTTTTTTCGGTAACATTTCATGCATTAGTGATCGTGAAATTTGGGGAAATTCCACAGCGAGAGCACTAATTGTAAACCTTCGGTTTTCATGGATCTTGTCATCAATCGCGTGAACCAGTTCTTCTGTAACCAAAGATGGATGCACACTTCGTTCTTCATCGTACACATCACTACGTCCGTCATTGAACTTTCGGACCCATCTTCTCACCATTGAATCTCTCATCGCTTTTGGTCCGTAAACATCGCAAATTTGCCGATAAATTTCACTAGGTTTCACTTTCCTTGCATTCAGAAAACGAATCACAGATCTGATTTCACAAACGGCGGGATTTTCAATCAACACCGACATTGTAAACAAGCACAGCAAAACGTACGTGACTGACAGCGATCTCCAAATGGTGCGCGTTTCTTCTCCTTGATACAGAGCGTCTACTGCGCATGTGCGGAACTGCGATCGCAGAGCTGCAGCGGAGATAAATTAAAACGGAACTTACTTTCTGGACGTGCCTCGTAGTTGAGACAGGGTTCATAGCCACATTTTAGTTTAAAAAATAAGCAGCTATAAGCACTTTTCAAGCACATTTTAAGAAAAAAAAAAAAAAAAACAGCACCTGTCTAATTACATCATACACAACTGCATAACCTTAAAAATTAGACTTGTAATTTAAAATATTAGAAATGAAGTACTTATTAAGAGAGAATAAGGATTACCTCAACCATGGGAAAAAATTATTTTTTAGTTTTTGTTTTTAATTTTAAATAATAGTTCAATTTACAGAACTAGTTGACAATGAGAGAAAAAAAAACTATGAAGAACTAAACTATATTACAAGATTTAATGATGAAATTTCAGTTCAAAATAGAGAAAATAAATAATAATAAGGCACATTTATTGTATTCGCTTGGAACCTAATAATAAATACAATTTATTTTTCCACTCATATTGATATTTAAATAATTTAAATCTAAATTTTGAACATTTTCTAATTTTCATTGTATATCAGTTTTCTCTTAACAGATATTGCAAGCAAAGTAATTTAAGTAAAAAGAGGAACATTTCCGAAATCAGAAGACAGAAATTTGCTTCATGCAGTCATCTTTAACAGTAAAAGCTTAACTAACCCGCATATTTGGAAATTGGCGAATATTCGGACAGACGAGCGTAACTTGAAGGAGCGGAGAGGGGGGGATAAACTTTTTCCACTAAATAAATGCTTTTGACATTTCAATATGTGCATCATATAAAAATAAGCCAACGGAACTAAAAAATTTTTCTGCTCAGCAAGCACAGTAAAACTCTTTTTTCATAAACAAACCTCGGACTGAACATCAAATTAATTAACTCTGTAAAATATCGCAAACGTTATTGCGCAATACGTGCGCCGTAATTCTTCCCTACGTGATATTACGCAATCGGAATCAACAACTGCCGGTATTGAGAGAATAAAGAACTAAATAACTGGGGTGTTTTTCATTCTAATTTTCAACAGACGGCGTTAAATTTCCGGAATAGAATCATTCTTCGCTTGGGCTGGTAGATCGCAGAACTTTTAGTCCTATTCAATCCAGAATTCGATTACTTTCCCTTTATTTAAGCCATTCCGAATATTATTCCTTAGAAAGCTAATCTGTGTTAAAACACAACCATTTTTGGAAGTTTACTATACTTTAGCAGTTACTGCAACTATGTTATTATAAAGATTCATACATATGCTCATAATATAAGCATAACGATCATAATAAACACAAATATGAACTGACCGCAAATTTTTAAGATCTTGATACAAATTCAAACGTGTGTAGTATTTGGGTGGGAGGAAAGGAATGCCGAATGTACCGGAATATTCTACTGCTTTCGCAATTCTTTGACCACGATGGGCACCTGTCTGTACTCTTCGTGCACATCAAAGGTTATGTTAATGCAGAGAAAGGGGGAAGAGCTATTTCCGGGAGTATGATTCACCATCTGACATTCCATATTAGGAAGAAAATTTGCTTATTTAGCTTCGGCTTTGGTTCGGGTAAAATAGCGCATTCATTAAAAAAAAAAAAAAAAAAAAAAAAAAAAGCACTAAAAGCAAAAATTAAGCACTAAAAACAAAAAAATAAGGGCTTTAAAGAAAAAGTAAGCACCTATAAGGGCCTTTATATTTTATTTTCAAATATAAGGACTTATAAGGACCGCTACGAACCCTGTGAAAGTATTACAGTCAAAAGTCGTTAATCCGGACTTGTCGGGACTTCGGCGATCCCGGATTCTAGATCATCAGTTTAATTCTGGTAAGATGGCATGCAGAAATTATAAAATGAAAAATATGAAACCGTAATTTATGAAATAAAGAACAATTATGATCTAAAGGGTATCAAAATTTACAAAAAAAAAAAAAAAAAAAAAGCTTAATATTTATTTGTTTACTTTATTAACCCCTTAAGGCACACATTAATTTCTAATTTTCGGTCAAAAAATCACCTATTTTTTTCTTGCATAATCATATTCTCTAGTGCATTTTAAGACATGATCGACAAATAAAAGTAATTTTTAACTAAAAATTTAATTAAAAAAATCTTATTTTAATTTTGGAATAATTTCACTTAAAGTTGTCTTTTGTTATGCTCCTTTGTATTAGAAAAGACAACATACAGGGGTACAAGTATAGGCTAATTCAAAAATATATATATATATTATACAAACAAAGTGAAAATGATTTGATTACATGTTTATTTTGAATTTAATTGATTTGATTACATGTTTATTATAGAATTATGTCCATGAGAGAGTTATCAAAAAATAATTCAAAGTATGACAAAGCATCATCGTAATCCGTCAGAGCAAAACAACAGCCAGGCTTAGCTTCAAATCGAAATCTCGGTGGTGCAACGTTTGGTTGATTTATACTAATTTGATACCAATTCTTTGCTATATCCAAAATCTCGTTGTCATTATCTTCCGATTCACTTCCATCACTCAAGAAATCATCACTCTCATCGCTGAAACTGTCTGATAAATTGGCATACTCAAAATTGTCATCGTCAGAGTCGCTCATTATCAGATAACTTTTTTTAAATTACAAAAACACTTAGTAATATAATTTGCAGTTAACTGCTTACTTTTATTATATTTACATAATAAAAATGGATATATTACCTTTACCACACCAAACGACTACTTTATAGCAAAGAATTCCTAGCAAACTTATAGCTAATCATCAAAATGCGCCACGTAGTTTACACAAGGAAAATGCTGAATAGTGGTGCCATCTATGTCAAATAAGTTTAATTATAATCTAGCCTATTTATTTTTACTGGAACAGATCTCAGACAAGCATTAGAAATAAAATAACGCGAGATACAAGGGCGCCCATGTGAGACACGGGCATGTGCAAATTTGCCGGAAACTTTCGCCCGTGTGAGACACCGGCAAATGCGTTAAGGGCTTAAACATTTCTTTCAATGTAAGTTGTTTAAGTTGCTTCGTTTTATGTGACAATACTTTCTCTTTAATTCTATAAACAGACATAATTTCTTGTTCAGTTACAAAGCTCCGCTGTTCAAGTCCTGTAATTGCTGTGTCGATAATACCGACTAAGTTTTCAATCGAAATTTTTTCGTTTTCAATAACCTCCTCGTCACTTTCTTCACAATCGGAAGCAAATTATAATGACGAGGAATTTGATTTAAATCATATTAAAGACAGAATATATCGAGATGAAATACTACATTTAGTAAGGAATTATAAGCCAAATAAAATGAAAACATCTGCCTTGAAGATAAGGATAGTCAGATCAACTTCCAATTCATTTCACGCCGCGGCGTCCCCACCCCACCCTACCGCAGATCAGCGTAAAATTGATAAACAGATTTCGAAATGGTTAGGTCATTTTTTGCAGCAATTCCACTTTTGTTTAATGGACTTCGAAACATACTTTCGCTTTGTAGATCCTTTACATATTAGTAAATATATATCGGAAATTCTATTTAACATAATTGAAAGTTCAAGCTTACTTTTATAAAATTGCTCTAACAGTCTGCAAAAAATAATAAGCCGGATCCAATTCGAAGATTAAAATAAGGCAATTAATTAAAAAAAAAGGTTTAAAAGATTTTGTGGTAAAATCCTAGTATATGCTACGGCATTGGCATGATTTTCAAAATTGTTGCCAAATCCCGTGTGTACCAACTGTACATGGAAGCTACTTTAACCTCCCACGGTACCCTATACTAGGATTAAACCGATTTTGTTTCATACGAGAATGGGAAGATATTTTCTTTAATTCAATATGCACTGCACATGTGCATGCGAGTCTCTAGATTCTCGAGGTTACAGAAAACCAAAAGTTGCTGGAAACTAGCTTTGTTTTTTTAATAGACAATCTGATTGGAGCTGTGAAAATTGGCTGTACCGCAGCTGCCAAAATGACACTTACGTGATATGTATTTTGCCAAGAAAGTGATCACTTTCAATGTTGGCGCAAAACTCACTTTTTGGAGGGAGACCGCTGTATGAAATTCCCTGACTTTTACCAGTTTTCCAGGTAATGTGGCAATCCAAAGTCAATCTTTTAAACTGTCAGTTTTCAATTCTACTTTTAAGGACTATATGAACCTTGAATCTGGAAGAAATTCCAAGCTGTTCTGTTAAGTTGATATTTCTCTTCAAATTACTTCGTTTTGAAAGAATATGAAGCTGCACTGCTTTGAGACTTTAATTTTCTGAATAAAATTTATTACCCTTGAAGTTTAATTTGGGGTTTGACATTTTTCAGTTTTTTCCAGGAATATTTTAAAAGCATCAAGTTTTTTTAAACACATCTTATTAACATTATGACTTTTAAATATTACTGAAGCACTGCTTAAAACTGCACATTTTAAAAAGAAAAACTTTTCTTAGTCTGATAAAATTAAAAATGAACATAATCTTTCTGGTTTACATAAATCTAGTTTTAAATCCTGACAGTTAACCTTTTTCTCTCTATAAAGCGTCGAATGTTTTTTTTTTTGTAAAACTTCGTAGCATAGTTTTAAAAAACTTTGGAATTAGAAATACTTGCTTAGGACCAATATTTAACCCCTTCCTTCTTGCTCCTGTCAAAATTACAGAGTAAAATTTCACCCTCTATTACTCATCCTCATGATATTTCTGGGCTGATGTGTTTAAAAGAAACACATAAAAACTTTTTTTAAAAATTCATTTCTTAAAACTGGAAAAAATTGTATTTCTATTTTATACACCAGATTGGTAGTATCCTTGATTTCAAGCTAAAAAAAAATTCGAAAACTTTAAAAAAAAATCGGGCACTTCTTTTCATTTTTTTTTTTTGTTGAAAGTTATGCAGTTGTTAAGCGATTAAGGAAATAAGCATAGTAGACAACTTTTTCAAACATTCGGCACATATAAATGTCACTACCAAAATACACCACAAATTATACCTAAATATTAAACAGTACTTACACCATCCATAACTTCACCAGCTACATAGTATGTAGAATCAGTAGAGTCACCTTCATATAAAGCTACATCAGTGATTTCAAATGAATCACCTAAAGAAGAAAAAAAAAAAAAAAAAAAAAAAAAAAAAAAGAGGAGCACTTTTTTTTTTTAAACTGTATAGAGCAAAAATAATGAAAACATTGAATATGATGAAAGATTTATCCATCAAGCAAAATGTAAGAACCATTATTATTTCCAACATGCCAGGGCAGCATTTTTTAATCTTTTTTATAAGTGGAACATTTTTAATGTCCACTTTTATTGTGGAACCACTCGTTTGCTTCTATGGTATGGTTTTAATGCAACATACTGTAAATCAGTGTTTCTTAACCTGTGGGACCCCTTCGGGGTCCATGGGTCATATTTTGGGGGTCTGCCCACTGCTCCTAATTTTAAAATGTTTGGATCAATATTTAAAAAAAAAAATTTTTTTGTCACGGGCAACCTCTGTAAGCCGTCTGCCATTTCCCAATAATAGAGACCTCCACAATACGAGGAAAAGAGCATTCGCAAACCATATAAAATTTGAAATTTTTGGAAACACAAAATAGCCTTTGAATTTTACTTCACTTGGAAATAAAGTGACGTTCAAATCAGTTCCACAAAGTTCTTGCAAATTTTTAAAACAAAATATTTGTTCTACTTTTTCATGAGTTATAATTAAAGTATTTTTTTTTTAAGTGTATTTTTGTGTCAATGTTGGTTCTTAATTTGATTATTTGATATTTTTTGTAGTCCAAAATGTCCAAAAAAAAAGGAAGTATGATGAAAATTATGTAAAATATGGATTCTGCAGCATGAAGGAATCGGAAAGCCACAATGAATGCATGAAAGATTGAAAAGCCACAATGCTTTCTGTGTGGAAAAGTTTTGGGCAAACGCCAGTATGAAACCGGCAAAATTGAAAGAGCATCTAAAATCTCTTCATCCTGAAAATGCATCTAAACATCTAGAATATTTTACAAAAAAGAAAGCCCAGTTTTCGAAATCTGGAACATTAACCAAACTTGGATTTGGTATTTCACAAAAACCTTTGGTTGAGGCATCTTTCAGAGTTGCATATCGTATTGCCAAAAGTAAGAAACCGCATACTTATTGGAGAGACATTAATTAAGCCATGTGCGCTGGAAATGGTTGAATTAGTTTGTGGACTGGAACAGAGAAAAAAACTTGAGGCTATTCCATTGTCCAAGGATGTGATACATTCAAGAATAGTTGAAATTTCTTGCAATATCTTGAAACAGATCATCAATGAATTGAAAGCATTGCCATTTCCCTTTAGTATGCAACTGGATGAAACTACAGACATCTTGAATTGTAGTCAACTTCTTGTTTTTGTTCGTTTTGTGTCTGCTGATACTATCAAAGAAGAATTCTTATTTTGTGAGCCTCTTTTTCAAACTACAACAGCAGTTGATGTTTTAGCGATTTTAAATGTTTTCTTTTCCAAACAAGACTTCGATTGGAAACAAAAACTTCATTCACTTTGTATGGATGGAGCACTTGCGATGCTTGGCAATAAATCTGGTTTTGCCCATTTGGTAAAAAAAGAGGCTCCTAATGTTATTGTTACACATTGCTTTTTACATAGACATGCACTTGCTACAAAAACTCTTCCAACCAGTTTAAAAGAAGTATTGTCAATAGTTATTAAAACTGTGAATTTTATTAGAAGTAGAACTCTTAATCATCCTCTTTTTAAAACACTGTGTCAAGAAATGAACACAGAACATGAGGTACTTATGTACCACATGGAAGTGCGCTGGCTGTCACGAGGGCAGGTTTTGAAACGAATTTTCATGTTGAAGACAGAAGTATCACTTTTTTTAGAAGAAAAAGATAACTCACTCTTTGAATATTTCAAGAAAAAAGATTTTATATGTAAATTGGCTTACCTGGCAGACATTTTTAACCACATGAATGATATACGTCTTTCAATTCAAGGGCCTGATACAACAATTATGGATGCCACTGAGAAACTACAGGCATTTTTATTGAAAATGTCACTTTGGAAAATTAGAATTCAAAATGGGATATACGCAAACTTTCATATATTGGACGATGTGCTTTTTGAAAATGGATCTTGGAAAGATAGTTTGTTATTGAACAACTTGAAAAATGAAATCTGTGAACACCTGGAAGTACTTCAAGTTTCATTTGAAAAATATTTCAATTCGGATGGAATAAATATATAAGATGAGTTGTGGATTCGCAATCCTTTTCTTTGTGATATTGACTGCATCGATGACATGAACCTTGCCAAGAATGAGCTAATTCATTTGAAAACAAAGTCATTGTTAAAAATGGATTTCCATTAAAAAACTCTTGGAGACTTTTGGTCTTCTTTAAGAGAAGCCTACCCATTACTTGTAAAACGAGCTATGGCAGCCATTATTCCATTTGCTACAGTATATCTTTGCGAAGCGGAATTTTCCACACTCGTCACAATAAAAACAAAACATCGAAATAGACTGAATGTCAAACATGATATGCGCGTTGCTTTGTCGAAAACTATCCCTCAATTCAATCTATTAATCAAGGAAAAGTAGCAACAGCCTTAAAATAAAAAATTTTAATTTCTTCAAATTTTTTATACTATTAGAATAAAAATATTTAAATAATTAAATAATAAAACAAAATATATTTCGTAATAAATGATGTTTAAGCAATTTTTTTTTTCACAGAGGAGTCCGTGACATATTTAAAATTTTTTAAGTGGTTCATTGTGCCAAAAAAGTTAAGAAACGCTGCTGTAAATGGATTATTACAACAAAAATAATTATTTCAAATAATATTTATTTGCTTCAGAAAATTTCAAAATTAATCCAAAAGCTCCTAAATAGCTTAAAATAGCATATTTAAAAAGCCTTAAAATTTTAATCAGATGAATGGTACTGCTTTTTTATTATTGCAGATATACTTAATATTAATTATGTTCGGCATTACATCTGTTTGGTATTTATTTTTTGTTGACATATACAGCTGAGCTCTTTTTCATGCAGTAGCAAATGATGAAAGAATTCATTTTTCAAATGGCACCAGTTTTCCACTCATGGCATTAATTTAATGTGTTATCTTAAATAAATTCACACAACAAACTAAACAAATAATAATTCTGCACAGGATGTCCGAAATGAGGTTGATCTGTTTCTGGACTTGCGACTACAGTCAAATATTGAAAATTCCCCGACCTGAAATCCGTGTTGCCTCTCAAAATATAAATATTCAGTTTATAGGTTATGGAAACCCCAACACTGAGTATAAAATAACAAAGAAAAAATACTTACCAAATAATGATGTCATAATTACCGAATAATAATAATGAGTCATAACGGAAATACCGAATTACTGACATCATGATAAAAGTTTTTTCCACCTCTAATCTGCATTGAGGTAAAAAAGCAGACGATTCACTCAACTCTTCTTTCAAGTTCATGATTCACGTTGTTGTATTTTCTGAGCTTTGTTATTTCACAAGATTATTTGGTGCTGCCTTCTTTTTTTATTCGGATATTTTGTGGATAAATTAAGAATATTTTAAATTTCAGCCGTTTTTAATACAATGATCAGATTAAGAAACTGCACTCGTGATTTTACTGCTTGCAACGTTGAAAAACGTAAACACGTTGCATTGACGGTAATGCAAAAAGTGCAAATTCTGCAAAAGATGGAAAGTAGGTGCTATTCCTCGTTTTATAGCAGAATCATATGGAACTGCAACGCAATTGTGTATGATATACAGAAAAATAAAGAAAAGCGGTTGAAATTTTACAGCAACAGTGATTCTAACACTGGAATTCGAAACCGGAAATCTTTGCATCAGGCGAAATCGGCAAACTTCGATGCTGTGTACATATAATAATACAATGAATAATATAATCAGTTTATATATGTAATAATAATTTTACGCATATTATAAGTTATTGCAATAATGTATATAATAATTTAATTAAATGTATCTAATATGCCTTATTTATTTTGCACTTTTAGTCTGAATATTATGATTTATCTTTTCTGCCCTGAAATCCACAAAATCCGCACAACCTCTGGTCCCAAGCTTTGCGGATTTCTGGACTTCTACTGTAGCAAGTTTCTGGGCTGAAAGGCTTTCAAAAAACTGCAAAAACGTTGGCAGAAAATCATAGATTTGGGTGTTGATTATAACTTATACTAAAAGTACTGCTTTCAAGGTGTTTTTTTTTTTAACCCTAACTTTATTAAAAACGTTTTGGGGCAGAAAAATTTCATTAAAACCAGATTATTATTTCCTTCTTACAATAACTATTTTAGGTAGCATGCAGTACAAGCAACTAGTATATGAAAAGAGCTTTTAATTATATGAAATGTTTTAGAGGAAAGTAATAATTTCATTCCAATTTTCTTACAGCTGTTAAAAAAAAAAAAAAAAAAAAAAAAAAAAAAAAAAACACTACTCTAAGAAAGAAGAATCATGCATCATGATTTTGCTCATAGCAATTTGCCACATTTGGCTATTTTGCTAATAAAAGTGTTTCAGCATCTCATTTTTATACTGGTTCTAAATTTAAATTTTAATAATAATACTAAAAATTCTCTCACGCTCAGCATTGCTATGGGGAATTGTAACATTAAAGTTCTCTGTACTTTTAAATTTTCTGATTAGACGCCATTGAATATCAACTCATTCAAGTTTTCCAACTGCAAAATTATGTTTGCAGTGTGCCTGTTGAAACATTAGCATCTTTGTCTTTGAAAATTAAGCGAAGTAATACTGAAAATCTCTATTTAAGAAATAACTATAACTGGGAAAAGATGTAGTTTCCAGGATAGAAGCATTTGCAAATCTGGAAGATCTTTTCCTACTTTGCTAACTGCAGCCCTAATAACAAATCTTCAACATTTATTATTACTTCTCATTTTACTATAATTCACATGCCATACAAAATCAGAAAACACAAAGGTTGGCTTTACAAATTTCGATATCATGTCTTTAAAGAAACCACCAATCATTAAATGCAAAATACAAATTAACAGGATTCCTTATTGCAGAATTGAATTAAAAACACTGAAT